TTTTTTTTTTTAAGGAGTCTATTCTGGATTTTGATAAAGCTTCACCAAGTGCCATTGTTTCATCACAGCCACCTTCAGTTTCTCCAGCAGGTAGTCCTGTAGGTATGTAACTTTCTGAACTGAAACATTTACATTTATCTTGAGGAAGATGGAAGAAACTTTAGAGTCCTTCTAATAATAGTAATAATTCTCAACACCCTCCCCCCCACCCACCCCAAAAAAAAAATAAAAAAAAATCAAATGTTAGAAATGTACCACCTCCCTCTGGTTGCTTATTTCCATATTCTTACCAGTGTCGTTTACTAATATTTTAATTGATTCTGCAGGGCACTAAGGTGCCTGCTCCTTTTAAGGGCTGAAACTGCCTAGGGAGAGAGCCCTAGCAGTCAGGCAGGAACCCCACAGGTGCAGGTTACTGTGGCAGCAGGCCTAAGGAGGGAATTAGCCTGCACCTGCAGCTGGTCAGCTGACCAGAAGAGGCAGGGCCCTGGCCACACAAACTCCAGGGGCTGGGACTAGCAAGGCAGTTCCCTACCAGCATCCAAAGAGGAAGGAGCCTCCAGAGAGGAATTGCCCAGAGATGCTACGTTTAGGGCTAATGGGAATCCAGGAGCTCACCAGGTACCCTTGCCTACTAGGCACTTAGACTTCTTCCCTGGCACTTTTAATGGGGCAGCACACATCCTGAACTTCTTTGCATTATGTTATAGCCCAGGGGCTCATTTTGGTTGCTGTCTGATAACACACCGCAGGATCAGGCTGAGGCTTTTGGGGAAGGAGGAGGCCTCATTGGGAGCCCATTACAGTGTGGGAACCCGGGCGCTAGTGTGGGCACAGTATTCAGGGGTTACCGGGAGAGAGACAGGGCTGCAGAGAGCCCAGTGATGACTAGAAGCTAAGGTGAACTAAGGCCTTGTTAGGGACAGTGTGTGAATGCCATCTGCGAGGCTTGAGGCATGGTAAAGGGATGAGGGTGTCCCAAAAGGCATCCATTTTGGAGTGGGACCCAAAAGGGGTTTGGGAACCCACAGGGTTCAGTGGGGTCCATCAGGACCGTACCCAAAAATACAAACTAGAGAGCAGCCTCCCTATTTATTATAATACAAAAAGATGTGGCAGGTGAGAAAGAGGGTGCCTACTGGGCAGGATTGGCACAGTCAAGAGCCCTAGGGGTATCATGGCCAACCCTGGGGACCCCATCTCGTGACACAGTATTAAACCCTAATCTGTGTACAAACAATTTTGCACTTGGTGGCTATTAAATATCTGCTTTGGCTCACACTGCCAGTGCATGTTTGCACAGCTAGGCCACTACGCAACTTAAACTTAAGTTTGTAAATCTAAAGTAAGTAAATGAGTACAACACAGCGAGCTACTTAAACTGTACAGATTTCCCTGGCAGGAGTGTACTTGAGCATTTTACTTGGCTTTTTTATTTTTTTTCTGGTTAAAACCAAAAGTGCTGTCTGCCCAGTGTGGTTCTGAATACTACTGACATTGTTCTTTTTAAAATGAGCAATACAAGTAGCAAAACTCCTGTTTTCCACAACTTGTAGACTTATCCTATAATCAGATTCCTTTCAAGACCAACTCTCTCAAGAGTGTTTGTTCATGAGTCTGCTTCTACCTTGGAAGCATTCTAGAGAGGAGCATTGAAAGTGAAAAATGTTTATTATAGTTAACTTCTGAATTTGAGTAAATGTCTTGGATCTTTTAAGCTTCTTATTGAATCAGGGTTTTTTGTATGGGAGCTTGTGTTTTGTAAAGCTTTTTTGATTTATCTTTAATTTTATTGTATGCAACTGCTTACTAGATGTGGCTGGTTTAATGTAACTCAAAAGCAGTATGTTTCTTGTATATAATAAGAGCAGTGCCAATATTGAAACACCTTACATTTTCAGCATAAGTGATTTCTATTTAATAGGGTTTTTGTTTTGACCTTAAAGCGAATGTTACTTTTATTCTTTATTCTCTTCTATAGCTTCTAAAGAACAAAAACTGCTGAGTCAAAATGACTTTCTTCAACAGCCGCTTCAGGTAAACTTAAAGACTCAACTGTAGAAATGGGGTAGTGACTTGCTTGTCATGGTTTCAGAAATAACTAAAGAATCTTGGCCAAAGTCTGTCAAAGCAATTCTATATGAGAACAAACTTTTTTAAAGCATTCTAGAACTTGTAGGAGGTTTGCTTTACAGAGCCTGTACTAGCATGTACTTAAGACCCCGTAAATGAAAACACTATAAATTGTCTTTAGTCTTTTACTTATCAGATTAGATAAGTGAAAATTAAAAGTTGGCAAGCTTGCATACGACCTCTTATTTTTGAAGTACGGTAGCAGAAGTATTAATAAATTAAGTCCTGAGCCAATGTGTCCAACTGTGTTAATCTACACAGAAGCAAAGAATTGGTCAGTTTAAATTGCCAATAGTCTAGAGCAGTGGTCTCCAAACTTTCGATTGCGCACTCCTATCAGTTAAAAATTTGAGCATGCACCCCTAGTATATGTATACTTATTGGGGTGCCACTGAGGGCACCACTGTCAACCCCTCCGCATTGTGGAACTCCCATTTTTCCCTCAGGATACCTTGCGTACCGTATGTGACATGTGACCGTCTGACATGCAGACCGAGTGAGGGTGCCAGTGTCAATCTGTATATTAAATATTAGTAAAGCTTAATTTCTTTCTTATTTTTAGATACAAAATAAATATAAATTCTAATATTTTCTTCCTGCACCCCAGTGGATCATCTTGTGCACCCCACTTTGGAGACCACTGGTCTAGAGATGCAATGAGCATGACTGCCTACAGTGTTTCATAGCTGGTAGGGTTGGAAGGGACCTGAGCAGATCATCAAGTCTGACCCCCTGCCATGGCAGGAAAGAGTACTGGGGTCAAACAACCCCAGCAAGGTGTTTGTCTAGCCTTGTCTTAAAGATCCCCAGGGTAGCAGCCAGCACCACTTCGCTTGGAAGTTGGTTCCAGATCCTAGCTGCCCTGACAGTGAAGTAGTGCCTCCTGATATCTAGCCTAAATCTACTGTGCCAGCTTGTGACTGTTATTTCTAGCCACTCCTGGTAGTGCTCAGGGGGGAACAGGGACTCCCCCAATGCCTGCTGGTCCCCTCTGACTAGCTTGTAACAGGCCACTAGATCCCCCCTCAACCTTCTCTTGTTGGGGCTGAACAGGTTCAGGTCCTGTAGCCTTTCCTTGTAGGGCCTGCCCTGCTGCCCCCTGATCCTGCAAGTGCCCTCCTCTAGACCCTCTCCATGTTGTCCACATCCCTCTTGAAGCGCGGCGCCCAGAACTGGCTGCAGTACTCCAACTGTGGCCTGGCCAGTGCCGCATAGAGGGGGAGGATCACCTCCTTGGACCTGCTTGAGATGCATCTGTTGAATATACAGACATCCTAGTTTCTTTTAAGGAAGAAAATCTTAGGTATGTTCAAGACCTGCCACTTTAAAGAACTGTTCTAATTTTAAAACTTCGTGCCTCATTTAAAGTAAATCCAAGAACAATGAGGTCTCTGTCTTTTTAGGTGCCCCATTTTCAAAAAACTAAAACTGATGAGCAAGTATTTTACCTATATCTAATTATGAAGAGAATGTGATGGTCTTCAGGCAGACATAACTGTGAACACCTGTTTCATCCCTGTGGTTTGGAGTTTTTGCTCACTTGTAAATACATAAAATGAATAGTGAAGTGAAACCAGTAGACCTTCCAAAAACTACTAAATAGTTTAATTAGTAGTTTATTAGGCAATAGTCTAAGATGTCAGTAGATCTTCCAAAAACTACAAAATATGAATAAGCTTTAGTTCCTTTTCTTTCAGACTGCTGCTTCTCCCATAACTCTTCATGGTTCAAATACTTCCTTAGCATCAGCTGATCAGACTCTGTCTGGCTCTGAAACAGAAGATCTAGTGATGCCGCAGACAACCCAGGTAAAAAAACACACAAACTAAGCTTCTTATTTCTTTTCTTTGCAGTTCTCTTGGTTTTGAGGGTCCCATGTGGTAGCAGTCTTTTCTGGAGGGGCCTCCTCTAAACAGTTTGCAGCAAGATGCTTTAACTAAGGAAAAGACTTGTTTGACATGCTGACACTTCCTTTTTTCTGTTGAGTCTTTCATTCAGCAAGATGGAACTAATGATCCAGGCCTCCTTGGTAAAGCAGAGACCTGGTAGCCCATTACTCACCTCAGTGGGCTGTAAGGAAGCTTGCATTCAACTAAACTGTTACTGTACAACCACTCCACAATACTAAAAGGGAAGCAACCCCAAGAGACTGTTTTTAAAACCTAGAAATATTGTGGTGTTTTCCAGCCTTCTCCCAGTTTGTTACATATGGTTATAGAATTGTTCATTAGTTAATTATATTCAGTTACTACCTTTTCTGCGGTTTGAAGAAATTGTCAGTTATCTGCTTAATGGCTAGTGAAAGTATAGGGGGAACTCCAAAGAATTCCTCCTTTTTTTTCTTCGGCTAAAAGTGGCATTAACTCATCTGGCCCTGTGGGGACAGTCTGCAGGCCAGGTTAGGCCCACAGACTGGCCCCACATTCCAGTTTGAATCTGCAGGCCTAGTCCAGTGTACACATGGCATGCAGCTTGCACTGTGTACCACCCTGTATGCTGCTTGCGGCATGCTTACACCAGTCTCTGCTCATGCAGCATGTTCTGGCCCTGACCCTGCATGGGGCCAGTCTGGGGCTTGTGCTATTATGCACAGCATGCAGAATCAGTTTGAGATGCAAGCTGTATGTGGAACCTGTGCTGGACCAGCCCTGCATACTGGATCTGGCATGCAGGGCTGGTCTGTGGGTCCAGCTCACCTGGACCAGGCCTGGATCCAGTGCGCAAGGCCTGTCTGATGGGGCATGCACTGCATGTGGTGACCAGTGCTGCATGCCCAGACTCCAGTCCCACATGCCGTGTGCCAGTCCCAGCAGGGTCAGGGTGCAAGGGGCATGTGGTACCCATGCCAGACAAGCCCTGTATGCTGGATCCAGCCTCTGCAACTAGACTCTTGCTCTGATCCGGACTGGCCCCAGATCAAGTGTTCAGGGCTTCCTGGGGCAGGCAGCACTTGCAGTGCATGCACCATACTGGTCTTGCATGCAGCACCCACACTAGCTCCTGTGCTGTGTGCAGGCTGAGCCAGATACCTCAGCTTTGTGCTGCATGGAGCCTATGTGGGCAGGATGGATTCAGCCTGCAGTGTGTATCCTTGCCATGACTTGGGTAAAAGATGAAATATTACACAGGGAGTTAAATTCTCTTAACTTCTTGTTGCTATGTGCTCATTGGTCATAGGTGTTGGTGTACTGTTTTCAGTTCAGATTTCTGCAGATGGTACCATCTTAATAGCTCATCTTGGAAACTGCTTGCTCAATAACATGTTCTAGAAAGTAATAGTCCTTATGCTGTTGAGCACTTGGTTTGATGGGAATAGCTATAACAGATTAATCATAGTACAGTAACTGAATGATTTGATTGGGAACAATGCATGACTTAAATATACTGTACTAGAATGATTATTCACTCATTGCTAAGCTACAGTCTCAAGTTGGGAGCTCTTAAAATACTGGGCCTTTATTTCCTCCCCCCGGTCTAATGGTGTAGGTCATGGGTGACTACCCTAGTAGTATATGTGCTGCAAGTGATACAGGCAGCCTGTGTGGCACACAGCAGATGAATGGGAT